TCTATCCTGTTTGTTTTTAGGACCTCGTGTATCTTTAAGTTTGGAGACACAGAATCCTTCCCTTGATTCAAGATCTCTTTTCAAAGCACTTGTATACACCAAGCTCCCTGTCTCTCATTTCTGATTGTGCAGAAGTACTTCGGTCTGCTGTGAACATAGGAGAGCCTTTATTCTTAGCCTGTGCAAGAACGTATGCCTTTATCATTGGATAGGGGAGCAGAAAAGTTTCAGGTTCTTACAGCAGGCCCTTTTGTTTTCTTTAAGGACAAGACTACTTTTTTTACTGGCTTTGTATTTTTCTATAGGGGAGTATCAAAGAGTTTATTTTTCAGAGAGTTGAGTTTACCAAAGCTATTTGTGTGTGAGGTGTTTCCGTGGGCCATATTTTCCACAATTAGATCTACTTAGCAAGTGTTGGACATTAGATGTAGCATTATTTCTTCCTATGTAGTCGACACAAACATTATCAAAAAGACTTTATGGCTGCTGTTGATTTGTACTAGGAAAAATGCTTTTCGACCGGGGAAATTTATTGTTGATTTGTATGATAAGAGCTCTTCCTTCTCCCCTCCACCCTCCTGATTTTAGCTAAGTCTTTTCAATCACAGTGCAAGTAACTGCATGCCTGTAGATGAGTTCTGCATGGTTGTCAAGAAGTTCTGTTGTTCTGTTCATATTTTAATAGGCAGTGTGATCTTTCTGAAGCTTCACAGTGTAATGTTGTCCAGCTGAATGAAGACTCAAATACTGAGATGCTATTCCAGACTGTATTTTTTATGCCTGTGAAAATCATCACAATATGACTCCTTTTATGAAATCACATACAGAAAGACAGGCGCTCAAAAGAAGAAAACTAGTTTACTTACCCATGAATGTTCTTATTAATAACTTACTGGTTTTTTATTACTTTCACAGCATATTCTTACAGTTTTTCCATTTATAGCCCATACAGAAATTTGGAATCTTTAGTTGAAAGGGAAATGTAGACTTGCTTAAGTACTTAAATGATCTTTGTCAGTAGAAGGTATGTTGTCCTGTATACTGCTAGCATTAAAAATAAACCTAAATTATAGTGTACATGTAATCTCTCCCTGAACAGATAGGCCAGTAACATGTCAAACAGTCTTTCTAAAATGGCATAATTGTTTCAGGATTTCCCATTATTGGGGGAGACAGCTGTGATCTACTCTGGCAGGATTCCCTTTGTGCTTCGTAACCCTTTTGATACCTCTGGCTTGCCTGAATAGGCTGCCAGGATCTGCTTAGCATTGTTCTGAATCTGTTCTTATTACTGAGAACCAAGAATCCTTGATTTTGGATGTAGCTGTATCAAGTCTGACTTCCCAGTGCATGCAACGTATGTTTGTTCAGTGCTTTTACTTATGTATAAACAGTCTGCATCTTATTTCATTGCCTATTCTACTTTCAGAGCTTAAGAAAAGTTTGATTTTCTTCTAGATATTTGAAGACAAGGTTTTGGTTACTGTAAGTTAGCACTGAGGCCAATGGAAGTATGTGGGTGATAAGAGATCTTTCATGTGGCAGCAACATAGACTAGGGCTTATTATCAGGAAAGAACTTCTAAAGAGGTCTATCTGTGAGTGTCCATACTTACAATTTTTATGATGTCTTTTTGTATACTATAAAAAGTAGTTGAAGATGGGCTTTTGGACAAACTAGACAATGTTTTGTTTCGTATTTTTATAACGTGTGTAAAATGCATGTAAATTTTAGTGTTACTGTATATTCTGCAGATGGCACCTTGAGCAGACAGTGTAGTGTTTGTCTTTCCAAGCTGTCTTCTAAGTGGCCTTTTCTGGACTAAATGTTGCTGATGTTTGAGATTTACTAATATTTTGAATGTTTTGTATGGAGCTGAGGGAGGGAAAATGTTGTTTTGTTTGTTAGTCTCCAGAAACTCCTTGCTTGTTAATTTCTTGTTTTTGTCAGTGGAAAGTAGTTCGGTTCTTTTGAAATCTTCACACACCTCCTGCCTCTTAAGAGTTATTCTTATGCAGTCACATAGAATTCACAACAAAAGATGCTTATAAATGCAAAGTTAAAGGGTGCTCTGTGGAATCTAGTTATCTTCCAGATCACGTAAGTTGATAATTCATCTTAATTTCCTTGATTAAAAATGGAAAACAATCATCATAGTTAAAGCAAGCAAATGTATAAAGGTGGTTTCTGAATGAATGCTGCTTTCAATTCAATATACATTGTTCTACAGAGGAAAAATACTGCTGCAGTTCTCACTCATGTTCTTTTTGGAAGTCATCATAGTCTGAGTACATTCAAGAAAGCAATGTCCCTTGTAGGGAATGCTATCATCTCCCTTGTATGAGAGGGATAGAGCTGAACCAGTTGTCAAGTTATTTCTCTTCTGTAAATCATCAGAGTCTGTCAGTTGGTTTCCTTGATGAGTCCCTTCTCAGCTGATCAGATTTCTGCCAATTGACTTTGTTTCCAAGGCAACCACTCTCTTGACAAGCCAGTTCCCTTCAATATTAGGTAACTTATTTCTTAGAGTAGGTTGATTACATTTTAACTGCAAAGTTCTTAACAAGATCTTGCTACTTAAGTTTCAATCTTACATGAAAGTAGAAAGATAACAAAGAAGCAAAAGTCTCTGACTAAAATGGAGTTGACAGCATGGTAAAGATACATAAAAGAGATTTTGTACTCTCACGAAACTCATGAATTGTACATACTCCCTGAAGATAAACAGGCCCACTAGTTTTTATGTATAGCTTTTATGTATATATTCAGGGTATTCTCTTTCTGCAAATAATGAGAGTTCCTGGTAAGCTAATTAATTTATGAGGACATTTCTCAAGAGTATAGACAGGCTGCCCTGGGAGGTGGTGAAGTCACTGTCCCTGGAGATGTTCAAGAAACATTCAGACATAGTTCTAAGGGACATGGTTTTGTGTGGAAATATAGGTGGTAGGTGGATGGTTGGACTTGATCTTTGAGGTCTTTTCCAATCTTGGTGATTCTGTGAATACCAGCAGTGCAGCAATCTCCTTTTTATGCATGCTATGTCTGTAAACCTATTGATACTATTGTGTAAGGAAGCACAGGTTCCAACCAAACTCTTTTCCTCATTTTTTTTCGCCCTCCAAAGTTCAAACTTTGATTGATATAGTCTTTCCTGGCATTGCCCATATGTATACTCTGTATCTGGTAATTGTTCAGGTTATCGCATCCTTTCCTTCAGTGTCTCTTCTATTCGGCTCGTTTTATATCCTACAAAACTTGTAGGATTGTTTCTGTTAAAGTTTCTTGGATTCTTCCTATGGATTAATGTTTTAGGGGAAGAGACACGGATGGGATAAAGTTTAGTAATTTTTTTTTTTTTTCTGAGGAAAGCAAACTCAGACATCTGTATTCATATAGGCAGATAATGTCACCGTGCCTGCATATCATTGTTGTTATTCTGATTTCTGAGTATATCTGTACTAGATGAGTGAAATAGTTATTATTATCATACTTACGTGGTGTCCTTTGCCAAGGTTATAGTCTTCATTTCAGGGAAAGCAAAACCTCAGAATGGTTTGTAGGACAACTCACGTAAATGGAACCAAGTGTTGATTTGTATTAATACACTAAATTGTATTTAACATGTCCTATAGAACTGTTTCTTAAACTATGTATCTATACATATTGGTCTGTTTTAGGTGTGCAAGTGCTTGTCTTTTTTTTTTTTTTTTTTCCCCATCTTTCAAGTGTTGCTTCCTCAGCTGACTATGGACTGCCATACATGAGATGAAGGAATTTCAGGATAGTTTGTATAAGCATTTGGATTTTAGAGAACTTTAATATTCATGCTCTAAAGGAAAGCATGACTCACCGTTAGCCATAATGAAGTGAATGTTCTTCTGTTCTTCTGCTTGGGAAATTTTGACTGATAGCAGTCAGCTTTCCAGTCTCTTTGATAGGGAAGTGATCTTACACGAGCTTTGTGTTTTATTCTGTCTCCATCTGTTGATAGGATGACTTACAGCTCTGTCTGGACTGGCAGACAGGATTTAGGCCGCAATCCAGCAAACCACTTAAAAAACAGTTTAGCTTTAAGCTTTATAGCAACTAAGTTAACGGGTTAAAAATAAAAATAAAATTAATAACGTTACTAACATGCTTCTATTAGCCTTAGAAGGAAATTTAGGGGATTAGGTTGTGTTGGTACATGAACTATAAATGGAATAAGGAGTGTTAAATTAAACATGTGCTGAAGACAAAAGTCTTGGTCTATATAACTTAAGGGGGAAAAGATTTCTATTTTAATAGTAAATTAACAATAAATTTAATAATATATTTAGATCAGTGTTACTTGGGTACTTAGGCAAACAGAAAATACATTTATCAAAGATGTATGTAGTAGTTTCTTTTGGCCAAAGACTAATGATATAATCAACTAGAATCATGGTATTACTAACAAACAAGCCAAAAAAGAGATCAGCAAAGCATGTTTCTTTTACTATCAAAACCAGTGACTGTTATACTGTTAGAAACAGTTCACAGGCTGAATTTACATTAAGGTCTATCATGGAGTTTGTTTCTTTGAAAATTCTTCTAATTGAATTTCTTAGAAGTGTTAATTCTATCAGAAGAAGCAATTGTCCTTGTGAACGAACAAACCTGCAGTTTAAAATTAGTTGAGCTCATATTCAGTTAATGATACTGATGATGAAAAATTGAATCTCTGTGTTTAGTTTGGTTAGCTTTCGGTGTTACTGTAACAAGTGGAAATGTGTTAGTTTGTATTCCTTAAGGGTGACCTCTTGTGGTGTAAAGCAGTCAGTAATTCTAAAAGAGCTTTCTGTAATACATGCAGGAGAATGTTGTTTTTATGTGTCATTTTTAATGAGCATGTAATTAACACATTAGTAAAGATAATGTATATTTTCCAGTTAGCAATACACAGATCTTGTATTGCATGTGAAGTAGGCATTGTATTCTGATGTACTTTCTGTGTACATGTATGTTGTTTCTTTTAGTAACCAGATGAAAAAGCATGGCATAGTTGCATCGAAGCCAAGGAGCATAGACTGGAAGACAAGATTAACAGGTATTTCATATAAAGCATTTCAGTCTCCTCTGGCCAAAAACTTTTTTTTTTCTTTGTTACATCTTTTCCTTTTTTTTTTTTTTTTTTTTTTTCCTCCCAGATGTGAACTACATTCAAACATAGATCATCTAAATATTATGATTTGGAGATTTTCTTTTTTTTTCATTGAACAGTATATTTGGTTTTCTAAATATATTGCATTTTTAGTGTTGTTGGTGTACAGGAACAATGTTCAAAAAGTTTTCCATTAACACTTCATCAGCTTATCGCTTTGTGTAAGCTGACATAGCTGCCTAGAAATTAACAAAGCTTTGCCCTGCTTATAGTAGCTGAAGATTCTGGATTCCCTTGTAGGGATCCGTTTTGCTAATTTTTATAGAACAGATTTTAAATGTTATTTTCTGAGAATTGACATGTTTCATGCATCTCAAGTGTGTATTTGAGAGTCTGATATGACAACTTGAAGTTTTCTACTTTACTGTTAATTTATTACTGTTTTACTAGAACTGAGCAGTTGTGTGATTCTGGATCATTCTGACAAAGGCTGTGATGTGCTTTTCTTCCATTTACTTAGAGTGGGAGTTGCTATTTGAGGCTTTATCTTCTCCATTTACAAGCCTTATAATTTATTTGTACTATTTCATAGGTAGAGGTTGGACAAGAAAAATGGAAATGGTTTGACTTCAAACTTTGTCATGATTATTGGAGGCAGGGCATATTTCAGATGTCAGGAGTTTGCTATTTATCTCCCAAAATACCAGCTGTGCTAGAAACTGTCTAACATGTAACAAAAGAATAAGAAGTATGTATTTTACTTGAACTTAAGAAGATTTTAAAAACTGATTGTGTGAGGCGGTTAGCGTTATTAGCAGAATGTAATTAGTAAGAATTTTTCCCTTACTTCTCTGTTGAGCCTGATCTAGTAGTGTTTGGTGGTCCTGGACATAGCAGGAAGGTTGAAACTACATGATCATTATGGTCCTTTTCAACCCAGGCCATACTATGATTCTATGAGAACAAAGTGTCAGCTAATCAATTTTATGTAATATTGTATATGTGAACTAGATAAAATTGTTACACTTAGAGGACTGTCTGTAGTATGGATGTTTTTAACACAGAATAAGCTGTCACATAGATACAAAGCTGAAAAACACAGTGATGTAAGTGTAGTTGTTACCTTCCAGTTCAGCAGGCAAATGAAACATTGTCAGCAAACAGAAACAAATCTGGATTATAGGGCAGCTTTATACATCAAAACATTTCTCCATCTAATTTTGTGCAAAACTCTCGTTTTTGAGGAATTGTAAGCAACTGCAACAACAGAAGCTTGAATTGGTAGAATAACCCAGAGTGTAGCAAAATCAGACAATTTTAGCTTGCTTTTTGTTTTTCCCCTGAGCGATAAATGGAGTGTTTGTAATTATTTATTTGTGTAGAAGTTGAAATCTTCACTGAATATGCGCTTCTGTTTTGAATGTGTTTTGAAGGATTAGAGGATGGTACGAGAGTAGATGAATCGGAAGAGGAAAAAAGCTTTTGGCATGTGAAGGTTCTACCAATTCTGCAAGAACTGGAAAGTGGTGGGTAACACTGTTCTTGAAAGTATGTATTTTCTGTTTTACTTCCTGGAGGAAACACAAGACTCATTTACTCATTTACGGAAGAATAACTGTAGTTGAACTGTGTAGTCGTTTATGCTTTAATATGTTCAGTGACTTAGTAGCGTAAAATAAAAAACACTGGCTAAGAGAACATTTTGTGTAATGAAATTAGCTTGTTTTAGAGGCCATAGCTCTACCAATTTAACAGTCAGTGATGAGATAATAGTTATAAAAATAAAGTACTTCGTAGATTCACTATTTTAAGTGTGGGCTGTATTTGAAAGTCTGAACTAAGTTTAGAAAAGTGAGGAATTCTCAATGAAAATTCCCCCTTGTGCTTAAAGTGTGAGATGACTCAGAAAAGTGTACAGTGACCCAGAATACTGAAGCAAAATTGAGTAAATTAAAGAAGGCTTGCAAGACTTAACCCTGAAATCCATCCTTAAGTTTTATTTAAAAGTTTGGTTTTTTTCTTTTTTTTCAGTTTCCCAGTATGAACATTATATAGAATATAGAAGTAGTTTTGTTTTTACAAGTAGTTAAAAGTGAATGTCAAATAAAGGGTTTGATTCTTTACAGTATCTTGAGCAGCATTCATTGTAGTATGCTACAGATTAGATATATTTTTTTTTGCATAATTTTGCAGATGTAGATAAGTCTGGAACACTTGTACAGTTCTGAGTGATTCCCAAACTATATTGTTATCTTAGAAAGGCAGGATTCCGACACCTGTAACTGATGTGTAGAAAAGGCAGCTGTCAGAGAACATGGAAACAGCTGTGCAATTCAACCTTTCCTTGTTTAGTGCTGATACTGTGAAATGTGAGTTGCTGAACTTTCTTAAACTTTTAAACTTTTTCATAGTGACACGTTTTTTATAGGTAAGCAAAGTATTATTTAGAGGTAAAATCGAATCATGTCCTTCCTGTGAAATGGCTGGAACTAAAGAAAATCATATTGTTGACCCCTTTTCTTTTTGAAAGGCCAACATACAATTGTTTCTGAGAATTGTGTTATCATCTTTGAAGATTTATTGGTTGCATTATTTTTGTTCTTATGCAACGCATTCTTTATCTTGTTCTCCTGTGTTTATGTCTATTAAGATGCTCTGGAAAAGATGACAGTGACTATTATTTTGTGTTTTTCTCTCTTTTCCTACTCCCTTCAATTAGAAGACAACATAGAAAGTCTTTGTTTGGCTTGCACCAAACTCTATCAAGTCTTGAATGAAGGAAATATGCTTGGAAAAAGATGTAAAAGAAGAAGTATGCTTCTGAAGACATTGTATAAACTTGTAGAAATTGATTCAGATCCACTTTGCCTGAAGCTGGCAAAGATTATTCTGTCTGTAAGTTTTTCAAAATGCTTTTTGATAGAATGTGAAGCTTAACACTGTGAATTACAACTTATATTTAGCTTTTCATTTCATCCTTATAAAAGGTGTTTAAAACTAACAATATGCTAGTTACAGTTTCTTGCCTTACAAATACAGCCATTCATTCAGATGGGCACCTGTTGGAGTCTATATTTTGCAGGGAAATTGCATCTGGGAAAGGAAATAGGGACTCAAAGTATGGTAGTTGGTGTACCGTGGTTGGCATATTCCTTGTGCATGGAAAAGAGAAAGTGTCCTAAGCTGAGATACATGTACTGGGATTCTATAAACAATTTTAAAAGTTAGGTCTGGAATTCAAGTTTAATTTTGAATAATATATTGACTTTAAACACATTTATCTGAAAATATTAAAACTATTTTTTTTTTTAATTAAGTAATTATAATTGTCCCTTTCTTTGTGAAAGCTGGAATAGCCAAGGACATTTTCCAAGGTCAGATAATGTTAGTGGCTGCCCTCTTGTTAAATTACACTTCTAAGGTTTTTGTTATCATTTTGTACGATATTTGTATAAGCGAGCTAGGGAAACATGGTCTAAATGTAGCTGATAATTAAGGGAGATGAACATAAGCTGAAAAATTATATCCAAAGAGAAGTCATTTAAAGTACATAATGAATAGAAGCCTGCAAGTATGTCTTAAATAGTCAGAGATCTGAAAAGCACATTTGATAGAGACCATCAAGTTTGTTTGACATAGAGTAGACTGAAGAAAGGTACATGCTAAATCTCTTCAATTATTTTTGAAAAGAAGGGAAATAAACTGTTTTTCCAGCATGACTGTGGAAAGAGCTGTACACAAGCGTAAGATATCTAGGGTGGATATACTTAGATTCTCACTGGAGTCACAGTGTTTGATTGTGAGACTGTGGATGCCTTAAAATAAGGTTTTTAAGATAGAGCTAGTGATTTTCATTTAAAAAAAAAAATCAACAAAAAAACCAACCAACCAAAAAAACTACAGAAAGAACAGGATATATCCAAAGGCACAGTCAAGTGATTTTATTTATTTATTTATTTATTTATTTTTAAGACAGATGTATTGGGATTGAAATAAGTAATTTTAATTTATGCTAAAACTAAGGCATAAGATCAGAAGTAATATAAAGGTAAGACTGAATTATTAGTAGAATTTGAAGTAGACAAGTGCTCGGTTTTATAGACGTGCACTCATGTGAGTCAGTGGTTTGGTAAGTGATTGTTTTGAATTCATCATTTTTGTTGCTAGCAATGTCAGTGTGGTGACAAGTCATCTCTGATTTAAGTGTGACACAACAGATGTGTGCTTCTAAAAGCTTTATCTATTTTTCATTCACGGTAAGGTGAGTCATCATGGTGCCATGTCCCAGTAGTCCCATTAATGTAGTTGTACTTAAGAAACTGGATGGTAATATATTTTTCTGCAATATTCCATTCTGTTTAAGATTCCTTTTCTTTTTATAAATTTGTGATTTACAGATTCACAATATTTCTACAAGGAGCAGGTTACTTACTTGTAGCATCAATACTATACATTGAAATCCCAGTGTTGCTATGTTTTTTTGTATAATCAATAGGTTAGGAGTTTAAAATTATGAAAAAATACTGAAATCAGTGCTTGGCTTTAGCTTATGTTACGTATAGTGTGATCTTGCTTGAATGCATTTCCTTAGGAGCTGTCCTTACATCCCTTACAGACTGCTTTTTCTCCCTCAATAACAATCTGCATTTGATTATTTGTCTGATTTTATGAAAGATTATATGTAGAATCTTTAATAATCTATAATTTTAGGCAGATGATTTACCCTAGGAATTAGTTCATCTGTGCTGACTGAGAATTTTTAAGAACTGAATTTAGTCAAAATGTTGATGTGTTTTGAGATTTAACATAACATGCTGGCAATGTTTCCTAATAGAACTCTCCCTTAAGTTGGTGCTCTTAAACCTTCTAGTTCAGCTTCTATAAAGTATATGTAGATTACTACTACTGAAGTGATACCAACTGGCATTGCATTGTAGACATATTAGTAATTTTCTTCTTTAAGTTGATATGTATTATTTTAATCAGAAAATGTATATTCAGATACTGCATAGGTGTTACATTGTACTTAAAATTAATGTTCTGTTACAAACATTTTTTTCCTTCATTTTTTCCTGTCTTTTCTTTCCTTTTTCCATCTGTTAAAAATCCTGAGCAGCAGGAACTTGCCCTTCAAACCTTCAAAAGCAGAGACAAGGAAGAGATTGCCATTAGAGATCTAACTCTTGCTTTCCTTTCTTTCAGTAACCTTTAGCATGTTGTAAGATCTTTTCTGATATCTGAGAATTACTTTCGTTACGAAATATATTGTTGCATTGGATTTCCTTGTTGTATGGCCATAGATGCAGAACCAGTGAATCCTGTGTGGAATTTCTTTAGATGAGTTAATTAGGAAAAAAAAAAAAAAAAAAAGTACAATCATATACTACATGAAAAGCTTATATATAATCTGTTATTTCAAAGTCAGTCTCCATAGTTTGCTGAAGAGAGCTTAAACTAGTGCCTTTTATTTTTGCAAACTTTTCAGTGTGGCTGTGTATCCTATCATCGTTTTAGCTGGATTTTAAGAGTTCAGGCACTGCATTCTCACAGTAAAACTAGTATGTAGGTATTAGTTGTGATTCTTATGATTCTTATGACTTTTATCTTGCAGATGAAAGTGGATGGAAAAAATCTTCTCGGAGCCTGCAAGCTTGCATTTAAAGTTTGCAGGAATGGAAAAAATGACTACCTCATTCAAAATGATAGATTACTAGGTATGTATTTTCTTATTATTTATATCTTAGATGTTGAAACATCCACTGTCTTCTGTCTCCTGCCGCTGAGTAGCACAGGGGAATGGAGCAATCCATAACCGGCTTTCTTTCACTCCTTTGTGGTCACCCTTTGCTCCTGCTCCTCAATCTCCTCCATGTGTCTGCATGTGGAGACCTGCTCTGCACAGTGCCTAGTTGCACAGGGACAGGCTGGTCCTCCATGGGCCTCTCCTGGAAACTTCATTTTCATGCCTGGAGCACTTCCTGCCCTGCTGCTCTGACCTTGGTGTCTGCAGGACTGTTTCTCTCACATTCTCCTCTCTCCCATCTGCTGTCACACAGCAGTTTTTCTTCAATCTGTTCTCCCTGAGATGCACCCAGCATCACTCGTGGCTCAGATCTGGCAGCAGTGGTTCCTTTTTGGAGAAACTGGAGCTCGCTGGGATCTGGAATGGGTCAGTGATGGGTTTTGCACATACAGGCCATTCCTGCAGCATCTCTGCTACTGAAAACTTGCCGTGTAAACCCAATGCAGACAGAAAAACTTTAGAAATCTCTAATATCAAATAAGGTGGGAAAATACTTCTATTCAAGTGGATGAAACATAGGAAGAAGTACATGTAGCTTTCAGTCAGTTACAAGAAATTCAAAAGCATGATATTGGCTAGATTTGCTTATTTAAAATACATCTGCAAAATTCAGAATATCTCCATTTGAAAAGAGGCACTAGGTTTGTACTAACAAGCATTCATTTAGCATTTCAGGTGTCTGACAGTGGTGTCATAATGCAAAAGTATACAGTAACTTTATCAGTATAGAGAGTAAAGCTAAGAATTGTACGGACAGACTTCAAGTGTGAGATTTGAATTGCTCATCTGTGCTTTTTAATGCTCCACGTGAGAGTCTCTAACACATTTGATTTTTCAGCAAGTAGAAAGAATAAACCCCTTTGAATGTCTCAAGTCTAATACACAAAATTCCAGGCGTACATACTTTTTCAAATCTTGGCTGAAGAGTTTAATGATTACCACAGTGTGTTTACAACTGATATTGGTTCTTCAAGTCTGGAGAGAAAGAAGTCAGTTCATATTCATCAATAATTGTTCCTTGGTTTTGATCCAAACACCCAATTTTTCTAACCTATTTATTAGAAAAGTATAGAAGGATTTCAACAAGAGGGTTTTTTTTTTCTTTTCAGTTGTTAATCTTTGACTGAACTATATCAACCATGAAATTATTATTCAGAAAGCCTAAAATTAACAATTTTTGTTTTAGATTGTTTGTTGGAGGTCCTGAGAACTGAAGATCTACAAAAAAACAATGAAGCTATCCTGTATTGCTTGGGAGCTATAAAATTTATGTCTGGAAATGCAGTGCTCCTTAATGAAATGGTCAGCAAAGGAGCTGTTGAATTGTTGCTGCAGTTAATGAAGCAGATTAATAGTATAAAAGAAAATGACTCACATTTCTCCAGCTTGGGCCACCTATTAGTCCAGGTTAGCATTTACTTTCATTTCTAAAAGTAAACATTTCACAGAGAAATAAAAAACTTAATCAGAGGAGATAAGCTAACCTTGTGCACCGTTGATAAGAGTTGTACCTGCATTTGAATAGAATTACTTTTAACAAGTTTTCATTAAGTTGTTCAGCACCATAACTGAATTATTGCACATATTTTCAGTAGTTAATTTTAATGGCTTTGGACTTTCTGAGTAAATAGAAATATTTTTAGGTATTTAATTAAACAAATTTGTGATTATTACAGTATGGTGCTGACAGTGTTCTGGATCTTATAGTAAATGTGTTCCCTTGTAAATTCTTTAAATTGCAGTAATAAATACAAATGTATTCTGCTGTGCCCTAGAAGATTAAGAAAAAAAAAAAGCTTTTATTACAAGAAAAATGCATTAAAAAAAAAAAAAAAAAACACCAAAAAAAAAAACAACAAGTAGGAAAACACATCTCCATTGGTTTGACAAAGTGTTTTTTGCCAGAAATAGAATTTAAGGAAAAGGTCAATAATATTAAAGCCAACTTTTTAAAGGCAGCAGGCTCAAACTTCTGGTAAGCAATCTTAGTAAGCGATGACTATTTAAAAAAAAAAAAAATAGTCCTTTGCCCTGAAACTGAGTTTAAACTGAGGTGTTTTACAAAAAAAAATAAAAATAAAAAATTGGTAAGTACATCTTAAGTTATGCATAGCTTGTGGGTTTTTTACGTATTTATTGAAAATTTGCCAACTGCATTTGTAAAGTATGAGGTAAAGATTAGCCAGTGGGATAACTGTAAGCTACTGGCCCTTCACAGGGAAATGGATTAGGTGATTTTCTGAAGCAGTGTTTAGAGAAATCTGTCGTTTAGCATAATCACTTACAAACATGGGATTTGGTACTTGAAATTATATGAGAAAAAGAATAGCTTATACCATCACCTAATTCTTACTTATTTTTTTGTTTTAGTGGAGCAATGTCTCTCCATAAATGTGTATAATCTTTATATAAACATAAACAGACCGGGTGAGTTTGCAAACTGCAAATTAGTAAAACAAATAAATCACTGTTTTCAGCTGGTTGACCTGCTGTCTGAACTTCCCTGCAACTTTGGAGCATTGCCTTTTCTTCCTTTCTTTGTAATTTGTATTCTGTATCTCTCCTGTAGTAGCACAGTGATTCCTGCTGCTATGGAATTCCTCTGTGACTTTCTCATGCCATTTTCTTTAACAGATCTACATAAAAGTGCACAATTTATTCTGCGTCAATTAAATGTTCAGTCACTGTCATAAATATAGGAACTGCTCCATTTTCAGGGATGTTGTACTGAAGACTTCGTCTTCAATGATCGTATTTTGAGAATAAAGAAGGTTTTGTGCCATACTTAAGTTCTAGCAAAAGGTCAAATATGCAGTGTTGTAGAGAAATAATGAACAAACATAGGTTTTCAGGAATGGAAGACAATTACAGTGGAGAAGAAAAACATGCTAAATATTCACAGTGATCTCTGAGGGAGTCTCTGCTGGCTCTAAATCCTAAAAACTCAAGTATTTCAGTTAAACGGGACTGACCCTTCATTCTTTAACTGTATAATTGCACAATCACCAGATGGCAGTGTTATACATAATCTTGCCAGCTTGTTTTTATGGGAATAAACTTTCCCTCAGATGTCTTCATTCTTAACGAAATATTTGTTATGCAGAAGTTCCAGAATACAAAAATAAAAAATGTTTGTAATAATATGTATTTTTCCATAATAGAAGACAAGAAACCAAGACAATCTCTGACTCATGTTGCTGCAGCTGATCATATTCCTATGAATTATGGTAATGCTTATTCAAAAGCCAAAGCTTTTGAAGTTTCACTGACAAGACTTAACAAGTACTCTGTGTTCCTTAATTGAAAAGCACTTAAAATGTCTTTCCCTTTAAAAATAGCATTTATCTGCTGTTAAATTTCCAGTTTTCATGAATTTGATCTTTCATGTGGCAACATGAGAATTAGAGCTGGTAGGATTTGCTAGAGTCAATTGTTTTGCATTTCTCCCTGAATCGTGTTGTCTGCTTGAAGAAATTAGAATAGCTCTTGAATTTGTTTGGCTGGCTTCTGTTATTTTGTGCTTTGTTACCTTCATATTTCACTTATGTGCTAGTTGCTGTTTATGTATTACCTGAATCATCTTTCTATGCAGCTGTTGTTTCAGACTGGCCTTTATTGTCCTTTCTAAGATTGTTTGATAGTTCTGTCTGAGCTTTCCTGATGAAGTGTTAGGGGAAATGGGAGTACGTTTTCAGTAACTTTACACATATACTTACTTTTGTATTTTTCATATATTTAGTAGAATTACTCCTGGGCCATGCAGAGAATGCATGATACTGGTCACTGGTCACTAATAGTAAAATTCTTGACAGTTTAAGTTCATCAAGGTATTAGGCTTTGTAAATGCAAAAAGGCAACATGATTTTTTTTTTTTTTTTTTGTAAAATCAAGAAATGAGTGAGGCAGCATGCTTGGAAAATATTACTAATGCTCTTTGAAAACAGGGTTTTCCATAAGCAGTAAATCTGAGGTTGTCTGATTCCAAATGGTTTGGGAACCTATGGAAGTTTATAACTTGCATAGTGATCTCTGACCATTTCCAACAGAATATTTCTGGATATTTGTAGAATTTTAGGAATGCTGTATTTGGATATTGCTGTTAAAATGACGTTTTTTCATTTAAATAACAAAAACCAAGAATTACTCCATTAGAAACTAAAGGAACTGCTCTAATAAAATAATAACACAATAAATGCTGAGTAAAGGAAGAAATGCAAAGTTGTTCTTGATACTTGAGCTGAGACTGTAAAACTTACAGAATTTGTGCTGCCATTGTGGATCTAGTGTAGATGAGGGCCCTGGTAGTTAAACAGCAGGACTGGAACATAGTGGATGGATGGTTATAATATGTTGATTTTTGTAGAGACCTTCCATGTTAGGTTTAGAGAGTCATTCTCACTGCAGACCGTGTGGGTCTGTTCCTAAGTCTTTTCAATTCTTATGTTTTTCTTTTCCAGAAGGCTTTCAGCCTTGGTCTGAATTGTTGTAGATTTGCATTAATTACTTGAGGTGGTGCTTCTCTTCAGCTTTGCAAATCTAGAGATTCAGAAATGGTCCCTTAACAGAAGTAATTACTGTGTATCTTTGTGGAGTTTGATATTTTATTACCTTGATTTTTGTCCTGTGCTAATAAAAATAAATGGCCCATAGAATTTGAAGGGAGTAAAGTATTTTATATGTATCGATCAGTGAAGTCTGTTTTTGGACAGATTAACTTCTTGCATGCCTGAGCAAGCAGTACTTCCAACTTGCTTGCTCAACTTCAGCTACTTCTAGCAGCCCTTGAGCTCTTTCTCATTTTCTGTGCAGTCTTTACAGTTGGTTGTTGTTTCCTAAAACTTGTAGTGATTGCAGACATGCATTTTTCATCAAGTGTATTGAAATTGGACAGAAAATTTAAAAGCAGTTGGAAAATGGTAGTGTTGTGCTTAGTACCATCTGAGCAAAAGCTGCTCAAAAGCAACAACGTAACCTGCTCTTTGACAGATTTTTCTATAAAATGATGTATTACTTATCACCAGACAATCACTGCACCTCAGTGATATATTTCATTTCAAGTTTTATGTGATTATGAGCAATTGGAACACTTAATCTTGGCCCCACTTTAATTTTGTAGTTTCTGGTTTTGATTAACTGTTCACTTACCTGTCATTGCTTTTCTAACATTGGTATTTGAATGCCCTTGCTATGGAAGAGAACCACAGCATCTCAAAATATGCAAAGCTGATTCATTGTGTATATGTATAGGTGATAGAATATTTCCTGTTTGAAACTCCTTGAAATAGAACAGTATCTTCTGAAAATATTTTGATTTCTCCAAAATAAACTTGGACTTCAGCTTTTCATTTTCTATACTGATTGTACGCTAGATTCCTCCTGATCTCGATTAACTTTGGAATGTGTTAATCAAAGTGAATAAATCATATTGCCTTTTAAAATCAGTTCATCATCATTATAACTCACGGTTAAAATATGTGTCAAATGTCAGTATAATTTACAGGAATTACATGTAAATTTACAAGATCAGAATCACAGAATGGCCTGGGTTGAAAAGCACCACAATGATCATCTGGTTTCAACCCCCCCTGCTACATGCAGGGTCACCAACCACCAGACCAGGCTGCCCAGAGCCACATCCAACCTGGCCTTGAATGCCTCCAGGGATGGGGCATCCGCAGCCTCCTTGGGCAAACTGTTCCAGTGCCTCACCACCCTCTGTGTGAAAAGCTTCCTCCTAATATCTAACCTAAACCTCTTCTGTCTCAGTTTAAAACCATTTCCCCTTGTCCTTTCACTGTCCACCCTCATAAACAGCCATTCCCCCTCCTGTTTATGTGTTCCCTTCAAGAGCTGGAAGGCCACAATGAGTTCTCCCTGGAGCCTTCTCTTCTCCAAGCTAAACAAGCCCAGTTCCCTCAACCTTTTCTTATAGGAGAGGTGCTCCAGCCCTCTGATCATCTTATACAAAATATCATTTAAACTGTCCATAGCATTTAACTTAATTTTTGATTGCTTTATGATCATATTCATGAATAGAAGATTTTAAAATAAGTAGAAGATGATGTTTTCCTCACAGGAAGAGTCTGCATGCAGGCAAAGACCAGTGTCAATCTTTCATTTTCAAACATTCATTTTAATATGCACTATTTTTTTACTTACATGTTTCTGTTAAGAGTTATTGATAAATACATACCTGCAGGATGTTAACAGGATATTCAGACTGCCTTTGACATTATAAATGAGACCTGAGCTTTATTACATTTTCAAAACAGTATGGATTCTGTAGTAAATAGCCATGGTTAATGAATCTTTAAATATTCTATATGCAGCTGACAGCTACTTTGCGAAACTTGGCTGACTTACCTCAGACGAGATGCCAGCTCATTTGCAGTGGTGCTGTCTGTGAGCTCTGTGTGGCACTGGAGCAGCATATGATTGACAAGGATGTGTGCACCTACATTGTCAGGATTTTCAGGTGTGTAGTGAATACAGTTCTGTTGACTTCAGCTTGCAATCAAGTCAGTGTTTCTGCCTCAAGTGACCTTAACAAAAGCAGGATCAAATGCTAAAATTGGAAAATTTATTTGCATTCATTGGATTAAGTTTGATTGATTTCATATGATAATGATGTCTTTATTAATAGCAATAGAATTGTTTTATTGCAGGCATACAACTTGGAGTCATTGTCTCTGGTAAAAATGTTTTGTTGCATTGTGTCACTCTTCATTCACGCAGATTCAGATTTTTAAAGTATCATTTCTTAAATTTTAGAACTGCATAAGTGATTAGATATGAATCCTATTTTGGGCCATGTTTTTTAGGAGGACTGTGTAGTATAAAATTCACAAGGGAGAAAATGTGATCCATGTTCATTATTTTGAACTTTTTACAGAATGTTTGAGATTAATCTGTAGGATCAAGACTTGAGTGTGCAGGTAGAAATGCTGAAAGAATCTCTGTTTTATGAGCAGCTCAGTGGCTTCTTCCCAGCATGTGCTTTTTAGTGGAAGATTGGGATGAGTGAATCACCCCAAAAGTTTTTGTAATCTGAAGTTGAATAACTCCCAGTTACCAAGCACAAACTTGCAATACCCAGTGCTAAATGGACTTGATAGCAGTCTGAGGATTTTGTACAAGTAGTGGAATTAGTTGTTGGCTATTTAAGGAGAAGTTGGATTATAAACACAATTTATGAGTGCCATTCTGGTTGAAATATTTGCCTTTGCTGCTTTACTACCTACGTGAGTCCTGTTGCCTTTGAAATTATGTGCATTGAGAAGCCGTCCAGCTGTGGAATCTTCCCCTTATTCAGTTCCTCCAAATCATCTATTGCATTCTCCTTGATAGATGAGACTGAGCTGCACTTTGAAGAGCAGCTATGTAAGGGTCTCTCATTCCTTCCTATTCACAGATAAAAGCAAGTTAAGTCTGATCCTTTGATATGTATGCTCCCTGTAAAGCATTCAGATGAACTTCCCCTTCTTAAGGGGAGTTTACAAACAGGAGGGAGACATGATAGGACAAGGAGAAATGATTTCAATCTAAGGGGAAGTTAAGGTTAGGCATTAGGAGGAAACTTTTTACTTGGAGTGGTGAGGCACTGGAACAGGTTGCCCAGGGAATCTGTGGATGCCCCATGCCTGGTAGCATTTACATTCAAGGCCAGGCTGAGTGGAGCCTTGGGCGGCCCTTGGCAGTGGGTTGGCTTTGGATCAGCTTTAAGGTCCCTTTCAGCCTACATCATTCTGTGATACTATGAATTGTCTCCCCAGCCCCCTGCCATCTTGTCCACTTATGTTTCAAAATTTGCTCCTAAAAATTAGTTGACTTCTAGCAGGGATCCCAGCACTTTCAGCATATCTCCTTCTAGGGAGAGAGCATTTCTTTTACTTGGGAAAATGCCATGGAAATTGAGGCTGGTTAGGCGATGGTTTTGTAATTGGACTGTAATTCTGACAAGGACGTTTACTTGATCTAGAATTCAATGTGGAGCAAAAATAATTTGTTTTTTTTAAAGTTTCCTACTGCCTCAGTTTTTGGTTTTTTTCTTCTTATGTTCAGTGAACTTCAGGTTCTCAAGATAAAAATTTGATTTGATAAAAATCAATTTAATTAGCTTCCTGGAAATTGCAGTCTCAGGAAAAAAAAAAAGTTCTATGCAGTATGGAACACAGATTTAAATTTTCTTCTGTATCATAGCAATACAGAATAATTATTCTTTTTTTCTTTCAGTAACTTTTACACAGCTTCTCCAAAGAGAGTATATTCCAATCTATTCAAATTCTTCATTTCTCCAAGTTTATAAGTCTTGCTGGTAGTTGAACATCAGCACACACGTTTGCTGGTTTTGATTACATGGAAAGAAAGACATTACCATAGTTACTGCAGTATTTCTAGTATGACCAAAGCATGTCTGATTCTGTTTTTTGTAATGATAAAAATGAGCAACGTAGGACTGGAGCAGTTAGGGAAAATGCAGAGATAATATTGTGACTGCAGAGATATGATTTCTGTGTTTGGTAGTGACAGACGTGTTCTGTTGGTGCTGTTGCTAGCATCTATTGCCATATGTTAGGAAGGGAGTCTGACTTCCCATTTCACCTTAAGCTTATGATTCTACTATGAGCTTGTTGTGTCATAGTGGCAGGCAGGTTGGGAAGCTCCTTACAATTCTTTCTTTCCATTATTCACACTCTTATATAACTGCATGTGCCTCTATTAGAAGTCAAAGTATTGGCATTTATTTAACATGTTGGAAAACAAGGCTCTAAGAGTCAAAAGCAGAGTGATTATTTTTTTTTGTTTTTAATCTTTTGTGGGAAAAAAAGTGCTTTCATTCATTTGTATGTTGTTTTTGTACCTTTGTAGCAAACTTTCTTCGTACAATGACTTCTGTGCAGCTTTAGCAGACTGCTCCAGATGTTACATCTTATTTTTAGCCCTACTAAACAAACACCAGAAGCAGCAGGTCAGTTTTTTTTTTATCTCTCCATTTTTATATATTAATCCTCTATGCGTCTGTGCATTATTGTGTGTAAGCCTGTTCTCAGTGACCTACTTTTAGGCATTTTCCAAATAAAAATTTTAAGTGGTTGATGGCATTTTAAGTAGTAAATAATTGAAATGAAATCACTTAGATTAAATATTCAAAGCAATACAGAGGATAGACAGTTGATTCATTTATCTGTCGGCCGCATATGTCTTTTAGATACTTAATTGTTTTTCGTAGTTAAAAAAACCAAAAACTTTTAAAAGAAAATAGTTTATTTGTGTATTTGATAGTAGGAAACTGTAGAGATTTCTTCTGCTCTCCTCTCCTACAAAAGGAGGGTGAATTTTCCAGAGCTAAACAATTTCAAAGCAGAGGAAAGCTTGTTCCTTGGTAACTGCATAAGGTATCAGAATGTCTCTCTTCTGTTAGAGAAAACCATATGCCTGTAAGGCTGCATTGGAATTTTGCACCTAGAAAAAACATGTTTAGAGTTTGTTAAAATGCCTCATCCTACTAGCTAAAATTATACGAGTTTATTTGTTACCAGATTCATTAGAACTTGAAGTCTCTGTTGCTCAATTTTCTTGCTCTATTGTAGGGATCTTTCTTATGTTTACTGGAGCACTAGGCTCTGGGGATTTGGTGTAGGATCATAGTTTGAAAGATTGCCATGCTGGTAACAGCACTGTGCCCCATTTATGGCAAATTACACAGCTGTATTTCCACGTAAGATTTAAGAAGAAAACTTCTTTGTAAAGCATAAATATTTCAAAAGTGGAATGAGGTTTCAGAACATTGAGCATAAAGATTATTTTTAGAAGTAAAGAACTTTCTTAGCTGCTCCAGTGTCTAAACTGACTTGAGCACATTTAGCTTGCCTACACAATTTGACACAAATTTAGTAACGCGTAGTCAATTGTTGGAAGGTCCTTTTTGCTGCTGTTGTTGAAGATAGTTAATGAAGGTAATGATATCAGCTATGCTATGCAATTTATTCCTTCTGTTGCCAAATACAAAAATATTTTCTCCCTTTCCTGTTTACCTGCCTCTGTTTTCTGTGATAGTGGAAAGAAGGAGATGATTGGAAGAAGGAGAAAGGAGAAAGATTACTTTCATCTGTTGGTTAACATTTCAGCAGCACTTCTGAGTATTTCTGGGTTCAGACTGCTTTTGCATTGTGTAGTCCATAAATATATTCAGTGAAGCACTACATAAATAATATGAGAAACCTTGAAGATGTTATGTTTTACTAGATTTGTAGCTATACTTCCTTGTGAGCACTGTATTAAAATCTCAACAAATGTTGGTCCTATGGGAGTAAGGAGCTTAAAGGGAGTAACATCTTCCTTTCAGCCTTCATCTGTAATTGTAAAAGGAAATGTTGACTTGATAGTTTTGTGTCATAATGAATTCTAGGCTCATATATAATTTCAAAATTTCTTCAGATAATTGTCAGAATTTAGCTTCTCATTTGCCTGCTTTCTAAACTAATCACTAGATTAGCTTTAGTTTTTATATTAAACTGTCTATCAAAATATAAGTTAGAGAAAAAAGAACTTGTATGTTAGAACAAAGTAGTTATAGTATTATGGTGATTATGTTCGCAATGTCTTCAGAATAGTTATTTCTTAACTGCAGTTTTTAATCAAGCATGCAATTGCCATTTGTCAGCTTAGTGAAGCCCTGCAGAATCAAGAAGAGGGCCGTGAGTAAGGCACGTAATAAGCGTAATAAACACTTGAGCTGTGAGAAGCAGGAGTGCTGTTCCTGGGGTACAGTTGGCACTGCTAATACTGTAAAGTGCTGACAGCTAGTGAGTTATAGAATGAGGTGGTGCCTGTTGAAAAGTAAACAGCTAACAGCAGTGTGGGTAAAATTGTTTGCTGTGGGAAGAAGAGGAGAATAAATCAGCATTATTAACTCAAACCATTCAAAATCCTTGGGACTGAAAACTGATATGTTAAGAAAGAGGAAGTGTGTGTGTGTTTTGAATTTTAAGGTTGCAAAGTTCATGTTTTTTATTTACTGGCAATCATGACAGCTAGGAACATACTGGGGAAAAAAAAAAAACACCAAAAAACTTTTTCAAGTGCTGTGACTTTAAAAATAAACATTAAATATCATGCAAACAAAAATGTGAGCACTGGAAATGGGACTAATGACTTGCTCCCACACCATACACTGAATTCCGTAGCTGCCACCCAAATAGTCTCTGTTCTTCTCACCACACTGCAGTTCCAAGTCTTTTTAATTTTTTGTTCAGCTCATGCTCTCTCTTGAGTAAAGGAAGCAGAAGGAATGGGAGAGAAGGAATTTATCTCTGTTGAGAATGACTTTGAAATTGAGTTGGCAGGACTTGCTTAATTCCATGTGTTATAATCTTAGGTAAGGAGAGGAGTACTGAGGATTGAATAAACTGGATCTGCAAGGTAGCACTCAGAAGTTCAGCAGTGCTTTTCTGGGCATCTGTAATGTATTTTCTGTTGGACCAACTTGTGGTCAGTTTTGGAGCTTACTTGTGTGAAGTAACAAAAAAGTCCTTGGTGGTTGCCAGATTCCATGAAAGCCTATCAGAAGTGTTCTCGTAGAGCATCTATGTTGTGGGGTGCGTTTTGCAAGCTTCACTTTCTACTCTGCTTTGAAGTCTGGTGTTTTACCCATCTCCAGGAATCTTTGAACAAGGTGTTGTTCCCCTTACCCAGATCACTATCATCCATAAGCTTTTCAGATAAGCTAAATAAAGTTTAGTGTTCTCAGTTTGTGGTTGATGTTACAAGTCATGAAGAGACCGTGCTTTTGGAACAGGGAGATTACCTAACTAGGGCAGTAGCTTCTGTCAGTAGGTCAAACGCTGCCTGAGCTTAGGCGGCCTTGTGGAGGCCTGCCAGCACTTGTTATCTTCTATCAGTATACAGTTAAGAGTCTGTTTTCATTCTTAAGTGCACAAATGCAGGATGTCATGCTAAAATTTGCATGGAAGGATCTTGTGAAGAAGAGTCTCTTTATACTTCAGTTTAGCCTACTCTTTCTAATTAGAAAACATTTGTGAAGCATCTGCCATTACTAGATGCAGCAATGGCCTGCTAAGTAAAAGAATAATCACACCGAGTCTCATGGAAGGTTCATCCAGCCTAGTATCTGTGCTAAATAGTGGAGAAAATCAGATGCCTAGAGAACAGCAAAACCAGAACAAGCCTATACGATACTTCTCATGCAAACTTTCCAAGCTTTCAGCTCTTTCCAGATTAGAGAGTTCCTTAGCCAGATGTGGTTCTCTTGTTCAAAATAAAAGTCAATGGTGCTCTTTTCCACGAAGTTCTAGTCACCCCTGCAGAACTTGTTATGGAACTATATATCACACACAAACTTCTAAGTTCCTCAGCATCCATTGGCAAGGAGTTGCTGTACTAACTGTTGCACAAATAATTTTTTTAAATTTCTTTTGAATTTCATTTTTAGTATCTTTATTTGATACCCTCTACTTCTTGTTTGGAAAAGCTGATGAAAATTTAGTTCCTAGTCATTCATTTTGCACTACTACTTACTTTTTTGACTTTTATCATACAGTCTTTGAGTTCCTTCTTTTCCATGCTAAAAATTCCTTGCTTACTTAAGAGTCCTTGCTTGCTTAGTGATTTTTCTGATATAGATTCCATACTGTTGTGCATCCATGTAGTGTTTCTCTGAGCTTTTTACAATTTTTAGTCCTGTGTCTTTTTTGAGATGAGGGGACTAGAAGTAGCTGTTCAGATACGACCAGATCATATTTTTCCATGCTTGCATAAATTTGTTTCTCAGTGAAGCTAAAAATTTGATTTGCTTCTTTGACCTTCTTTGAGTACTACAACTCTGAGGAGAATCCAAAAAATCTCCCTCCAGGTGGTTATGGTTGGTTCAAAGGCTGTAATTTTGTCTTGTTCTGTTTCATTTTTATCCGCATTTGAATTTTGTCTGTTATTTTATTATCAATTTATGCTCTTCAGTCAGCCTTTGTCTTTCCTATTTTGAATATCTTACTGTCATCAACAAAATCTACTGTATCACTGCTGCCACCCACTTTTCAGTGTTTTTTTATGGATCTGTTGAACAAAACAGGTCCTGTCACAAAACCAGGTGGAATTCTGATGGTGCTCTGCAATTGCAGGAACCATTAATTTATTGTTTCCCATCCTCTGAACATTTAGTGGTACACAACATTCCCCTCATGGTATGACTGCTTAGTTTCACTAAGATTTTGGTGAGGGACCTTGTCAGAAGTTTTCTGGAAAGCGAAGTGGATTCTGCCAAGTGGGTCTCCTTTCTATCTGTTGATCCCTTCAAAGAGCTCAATAATTGGGTGTCAGAACTCAGGAGTCTTAAAACTGATTGCACGTATCCGACTGTTCACAAATTGGCTGTTCTTTTCAATGGTTTCTTCAAATTCATCTGGTATAGACATCAGACTTGAATCTCTTGGATCCCCTTCTAATAGTTGATTTCATGTTTGTTACCTTTCCAGTTCTGAGACATCAAGGCAGTGGTGAGTGAGAGGTTGCTCATCACTGTTAGTTATTAAGCTATTTAGTTAATGAGTTAGAACTCTTGAGTTATTATCTCTTCCTGGTGATTTGTCACTGTTTCAGTGACAAATCAATTGTCTTTAGAAGTTTTTTCTTTAGAAGTTTGTGATCACTTTGGTTTTCAGCAGATCCTCCGATGTCTCTTCCCTGCAGAAGACTATAGCATTGAGATCTCAGTTTCTTTCATAGTGGGCAGGAATCAATGCAAGGAACTCATCTAGCTTCTCTGGAATTACATTTTCTTCACTGGATGCTCCTGATCATCAGTTAGTTCTGCCAGTTCTGGCAAACATCCTGGTCCTGATATGCATGAAATGATTTGTTATTATTTTTGTATCTCTTGCGTCAGTCAGTAGAACTGCACTAACTAACAATTATAATTTGCATGTTGTTTTACCTGTTTGATTTAACAATCAA